GGAACCTCGGTATACGTCTGCTTTAGAATACGTCCAATTCGGAATACGTCCTGTTTGGACGAAACAAATTTTGCTCGGTATACGACTTTTGTTCGGTATACGACATAATTCAATTATACGCGCCATCAATGAACAAGTAGCACTATCGGTGTACTAGACCAGACTAGACGTTCGCGGTGCAACGGTTTATAACTTTGTTTAATTTCTTCTGATTTTAATTTGTAAGTAAAATTTTATTATTTTTATTAATCACGAATCGCAAAAAGGCAAATGAAAAGCGACAGAAAACTAAAAAAATGACTAGAATTACAATGGAACTGATAAAAGAGATTGTTGAAAAATATGAAAGTGGCATGCGTGTTTGAGATTTTAACTGTTGCCTACTGTATTCCGAGAACGACGATATGAACAATCGCAAAAAATAAAGACATTATTAAATCTGCTAATGTAGCGAAAGGGGTTAAATCAATTTCTAAACAGAGATTGAAGACATTAGATCATGTCAAGAAATTGCTTTTGCTTTGGATAACTGCAAAACATTGCTGGAGACAGCGTATCGGAAGCAATTATTTGCAAGAAAGCTAAAAAGATACATGATCTCATGAAAAATCAAGCAGGAACTAGCCAGGAAAGCGAGGTGTTTAAAGCCAGCCATTTTTTTTACATGAGAACGGATTAATCATTTTTACATTACTTCTTATGGGAAAGGTTGATTTGATATACGTCCAATTCAGTATAAGTCCAAACATCGGGAACGGATTAAGGTCGTATACCGAGGTTCCACTGTACTTAGGTAACGAAATTGAAGTCATTGTGCATGCACATAGACATGTGCAATAAATGGATCAAATGACTATAGTGGAGTTTGCTAAAAATTAATAAGAAAATAGAATCAAGTAGTTGCGCATACACGTGGTCATGTGCAATAAATGGATAGAACAGAACATAACACTTTTGTAACTCCTAAGCCTAGCATTGGAAATTTTTAGTCGACCAAGTTTAGGCTTAAGTTATAAGCCTAATTTTTAACGTTTGAATCAAATGGATGGAATGGAACATAACACTTAGGTCACGAAAGTAAAGTCATTGCGCATGCACAAGAAAATCTGACAGACAGACAAAAGTCCTAGCATAAGCACTTCTCCATTACCGTGAAGCATGATAAAAAGGGATATTAGTAAAAATTCTATTAGTGTTAATTTCACTTTAAGTTTAGGAATGTAATTTAAAAAGAAAATTGTTGATGTAAGTGTAAATAGAAAATATTTTATATTCTATTAAAATTCCAACAAATTTTATTTCTATTATTCAGAATCTAGATTTCATATGTTTGTATGCCACTTAATTAATAATAATAAATTTGTTGTAAAAACAGGAAAATCAAATTTTATTCATTTATAAAGAAGATTGCCTAGTCAGTTATATTGAAATAAGTTATTTACTTGTTTAGAAAATGAAAGAATATTTGTCATAGGGCAATGTTATGTGTAGAGTGACATTTGAAACCAAGATTTTAAAGTTTAAATAAGAGCTATCAAAGACAAGAAGTTCTCAAAAACAAAAAAATATTCTGCAATTATCAAAATGCATCTCATTAATATATGAAAAAGTCCTTTACATATTGTATCTATAAATATACAGTGTATGCTATTTGACATTCTGTAAAATAGCTTAGTCCATGCTAATCCCTGAATCAACTATCACAAACAAAAATATCAAATACAAAATAATATTAAAGACAGTCAATCTATAATTGTATGTATTAAAGCAAATACTTCTATTACCTACATTTTTCTATTATAATATGTAAACTATCAACATAAAAATATTGAAATTAATATCTCATTTTTTAATATTAAAATAAATATATCTAAAAACAAAAATTAATTATACCTTTCCTTCGTAGGGATAGGATAATTCAGTATCAATTCCATGATTTTGTTTTATATAAGTGAATGCTTGATCCATTAAACCACCATTGCAACCTTCATTACCATATTTTTTAGAACAATCTATTAAATTCTGTTCACTTAGAGAAACTAATACACCAGTTTTACGAAAATGTTGTCCCTCTAAACTGCCAGTCTAAAACAAAAAATTATTAACTTTATGCATAAATTTTTAAATAAATTATTTTGCTTAAATAAAGTACTTTTTAAATACAAATGTATTACATTCTTAAATATATAATATACATACTGTACTAAAAGCCCAACAGGAGCCACATTCTCCCTGATTTTTGACAGGAGTAACATAACCTTCTTGACGCCAGTCAACTGATTTTGGAACTTCAACATTTAATGGAGAAAGATAAGTAGAGCCATTTTCATACTGGTTTCGATATTGTCTTTTAAAACCATTCATATTCCGAATAAATTCGTGATGAAGCTAAAACATGCATAAAATGATTATTTCCATATCAAGCATCATTCAAATAAAATTTTAAAATTTAATTCACATGAAGCTTAAATGTTTACCTTATCACCAAATTCATTCATTGCTAATTTGTATTTCTTTATACCTTTTTCATATAAAGTATTATGTTTGGCAATTTTATGCTTGTTGTCCATAAATACCTTCATTCGAAAGGAATCTTCTAAAGGTTCATATTGTTTACCTAAATAAAAATTTAAAAATATGTAATGCTCTATTTCCTTAACTCTCAATATTTGTAACTGGCATATTTTAACATTTCATAATTGTGTATAGAGTAGATAGTCTTTCTTTATAAAAAAAAATATGTCAATTGGTCTGAGTATCCACCTTTTATACAAAACAATAATTTTACTAATTTTGATAAAGTATAAGCTTCATACTTTTCACTTACAAACATTTCAATGTTACTTTTACATTGGAAAAACTTAACTCAGTTTGCATTCTTCTATCTAACTATTAACATTTATGTTTAAATAGTAATTTATATATTTTTATTTATTACTAAATATTAAATCAAAACAGGACATAAAACTATAACAAACTTGTCTTAGTCTTTCTTAAATTATTTATAATGAAGAAAAGTTATTTGAATGTAAANGAACGACGAACTTTCTGTTTGGCCGTTACATGACTCGAGCAACAGACTGGCTGCAAACAATGGACTTTTCATTTGGCAGTTATGTGAGGCAAACAATGGACTTTCTGCAAACAAGTGCAAATGATATTTCCAATGTTTTGCTGTTGTCAATGGCAATCTGCTATTATTAGAATATCTGAAGTACAGAGCTCTCGTTGGGATCAGCTTACTCCCTTGTTTATTATGTACTGTACATCACCTTAGTGCAGGTATTTAAATTTATTCAAGTGTTGTGCAAATCATGGCTTCTAAAAAAACATAAAGGTGATTTCAATTGAAACAAAACAAGAAATCATCAGAAGGAGTGAAAGTGGGGTAAAACAGTGTGACATTGTCAAAGAGTTTGGTCTCAGCAAGACCACCATCAACACCTCTCTATTAGGGTCTTGCTCTTCCACAATTTGAAAATCATTGCTTTAACTGAAAATTATCATTAGTTAACTTTTTCAGTTAAAGCATTTAATATTTTTACTTTAGGATATCAATATATGGATTTGTGTTTAATAGTATGTCATAAATGAGTCATACGTAAGCTAAATTTATTTAATGATTATTGAAATCAGTCTTATTTTTATTGAATTTAATATAAATAAGTGTGAAAAATAATTTATTTAAATAATACTGAAATAAAATTTATTATGTGGCTCATTTTTGATTATTAGTGTATCTATATATATAATCGAGACGGGTTGATAATAATAATAAGTGCAGAGCCCAAACTGTTAGGAGTTGAAATTTGGTACACAGTTAGGGTACGTCATGAGAATTCACACTAAGAAGGGACTTTTCGAAATTCCTCCTCACAGGGGAGAGGGACAGGATTAAGGTCCCTCACACTTCCATCAACAATGGAAGTGTTAAGAGAAAGCGATGTGCAAGACGCAGATGCAGTTTTTTTCATTTTTGCGGGAAATTGAACATATTTTTAGAACTATCTAAAAATTCCCTAATTAGTCTGGAAACAAGGGGACCCAATTCTTGCATTCTGTGAAAACGGGTAAGGTTGACTGTAACGTATATAATCTTAATCTTAGTTATCGTTACTTTTGCCCGAGCAATGCCGGGCCTACCTGCTAGTAATTTTATAACTTACACAGTCCTAACTGTTTAATTAAGTCAATCTATCATTACTAAAAAATGTTTTTAGTGTCACATAATACATAGAGTAGAATTGTGTAGAATATTAATTTTAAGATGTTTAAATTTAAACAAATTCGTTTAAATTTATGATGATGAATTTAAATAAAAGAGAACAAACTTAAACAGGTTAATTACTTCTTGGAATTTTGGCTATTTCAAAATTTCTTACAACTTAATTTTATCAAAATATAGGATTTTAACAATATTATTATAATAAGATCTAAAATAAATTTTTTAAAATTTATATCTGATTGTTCAAATTTCACTTGAGAACAATGAGTTCAACATTTCTTTCCATACATAATTTACTTAACATGCATTGGTATCTGTTAATATCATCATATTTAGAAAGATTATTTGAGAATATTAGAACAGATACATATATAATTTCAAATTTTAGACCTAATGTTTGCAGCCCATTCTTTAAAAATGTATTTGAGCTGAAGATGGTTATAATGAGGCTGAAAATGTTTCTTTAATAAACACAAGATTAGTTGCCTTAAGTAAGCAGTTCTGTATGTATTCAGTTTTATTCATTTTGAAGATAATTTTATAGATACATTATATAAATATAAATTAATGCTGACATCAATATAAATGGTCAATTTACAAGGTATTAGTATTGTTGTAACTGATCTGTTGTAACTTGATCTGGGCATCAAGTCAAAGGTGAAAATTCCAACATACTTTTGTTAGTCTGAGAGTGTCTTTATGTAGTCGTCACCCCAGTCACTTGTATCCGAGAGTGAATAGTTAATTGTTAATTAACTACGTGTTTTTATGTGAAACAGTATCAAAAACAAAATTGATATGAAAAGTATGTAAGAAAGTGTTTTTATACCTACTAAAAACTTAATTTTTTCCTTTGAATAGTACCAATAGAATTTTGATTAATAAAAACAAAATGCAAAATTTATATGTAAAGAAAGTAAAATTTTCCTAAAGTTTAATAAATTGCTTAAATATTTAGCATGTTTAATATATAATATTTATCATAACATTTCTGATTTAAATTGGCTTTTTAATTGAATTAACAATTTTATAATCTAAACAAATCTAAGTTGATTCTTATACAATAAAAATTAGAAAATTTATTCTACTAGCTGCAAGGACCCACTTTGCTCGGTTTTTATTTGTATGTAATATAGTTGTTTTTATATATAAAAGACTGTTTTTCTAAGTAATCTAGAATCTAGCTGCAAGGACCCGCTTCGCTGGGCAAAAAGTAACGATAGTGAAGATTAAGATAATTACATTATAGCTAA